TTACATGAAAAAATTGTTTTATATGCCTTTTATAAAACTTAGTTATATATGCTGAACAAGATATACTCTCAGGACATAAAGAGTTGTAAAGTAACTTTCTTCAATAATCACATTATTAATCATATTATTAATATTGTAGACTTTAAACATGGTCTTTCAGTCTCCATGAGAATGATCAGATCCAGGCCTAAGGCAGATTTTTAACATGAGCTGAGGTTATTTTATATTTGGAAACTGATAAGGACTAATAGTGTTATCAGTTTTCTTGGGCTGCTCTAATAAGATTCTATAGACTCAGTGGATTAAACATTATAAATTAATTTTGTCACAGTTTTGCCGGCTAGAAGTTCATTATTTCTCCTGAGGCTTTTCTGCTTGCCTTATGGACAGTGCTTTCTCCTTGTGTACCCACATGGACATTTCTGGTGTCTCTTTCTGTCTCTTTCTCTCTCTCTCTCTTCTAATGACTCCAGTCACATTAGATGAGGGCCTTATGATTTCATTAATTGTACTTTAAAGGCCTTATCTCCAAATATAATCACATTAGTGGTTAAGATTTCAACATATGAATTTTGGGGGTACATAACTTAGTAACAAGTGGAGTCATGTCAAGCAACTCATGATCCCTTTAAAGAAGCTTTTACTAGGTAAAGGTGGGATGGTTTGACCTTTGATGAGAATAACAACAGTAATTTAAATCCGTAAGTTTTTAATAGTCATTAAAAACAACCCATATTTTATTCTGAAAGCTTGTCAAGAAAGAAAGCAGACATTTGTCTTAACTTCTCTAAGTAGACTACCTGAATATCTATTGAATAATTTGGCTCAACTAAGGGATATTATTGATAAATTGAATAAAAATTTTTTAAAATATGTAATTCCAGTAATTAAGAAAGAATGCTAAATTAATCTACTTTTATATACTCCTAGTGAAGTAATGAATAGACTTACATAGTGGTCTAAGTGGCCTCTAATACCACAAACAATAACAACCATACTCTTGTTAGAAGTACATACACAGTGTTAGCTTTGTTCTACTATGACAAAATACCTGAGAAAAACTACTTAAAGGAGGAAAGATTTGTTTGAATTATGATTTCAGAAGTTTCAGTTTATGGTTACCTAGCTTCACTGCTTTTAGGTTTATGGTGCGGCTGAAACATCATGGTGGAAGGGTATGGTAGAGGAAAAACTGTTTACTTCCTAGGGGCCAGGAAACAGAACAGGAAAGAACCAGAGAGGAAGGGGCAGGGGACCAGATATAGTCCAGACCAGATGCAATTCTGAGTTTGGACACATATAGGTATATAACTACTACCACAATCAAGATACAGAAATTCTGTTATTCCCAATTCTTCCATCCCCCCATATCTTAGTTACTTTTCTCTCATTGCTGAGACAAAATATTTGACATCTAAAGTTAGAGGAAAGGGTTTATTTAGCTTACAGTTTGTAGAGGTTTCGGTCCATAATCCAGTGGCTCCAAAGCAGAGTGGCACTTGGAAGAGGGGCATCACAGAGGAGAAACTGTTCATGGTGCCCACAAGGTAGGAAAAAATAAGGAAACCAACAAAAACCAAAAAAGTGTCTTTCTTCCCCTTTTATCTTATCCATACTACTGGGATTAAGGTGGTGCCAAACCAATCAGTATCCTGGTTTAGTGAACACACACCCTTAATCCAGCATCATATACTCTTTTTTTTTTTTTTTTTTTTTGGTACCAGGGATTGAACTCAGAACCTCATGCTTGTGAGGCAGGGGTCAGAACCACTGAGTTAAATCCCCAGCCCTCATATACTCTAGATTCAGCCACCTTTGACCATATAAGGCTTTGGGGGAACATCTAGACACAAAGCATAACACCCCATGATCCACTATATTCAGTTAATCTCCACCTTCTGTTTCTGTCACCTCCAATAAAGCCATCAAATTATAATTTCAAGGGATTAGTAACCTGATGGGGTTAGAACCCTTATCCAATCACCAAAAAGTCCATCAACTGTAGTTAAGCCTATGACCATTAATGGAGATATGTCAACTTGATTGGATTAAGAAACATTTAACAGATTAATATAGGACACTTCTGTGTGTGTCTTGGTGGGTCATGGAGCCATAACCTTGGATACTACATATGGTCTCTGCCTCCTTTCTCTGGTGCTGCTCCCCTTCTCTGCTTTCTGGCTGCCATGAAATAAGCAACATAGTTATACCACATTCTTCTGTCATATTCTGTCTGCCTTGGAGCCAGAAAGACATGGACTGAGTTCCCTGAAACTATGAGCCAAATTAACCTTCTCCTCTTTTAAATTGGGTGTAAGGTACTATGTCCCAGAAATGGGAAAGCTGACCAAGACAAACTGTTTTTTTAGCACATGAATTTTGGAGGGACATTTTAAATCCAAACAATAACACATGCCCTCCAAATGTGAACTTTAATTATATTAAATCTATAATTTTCTATAAGAAAAATAGAGGGCAAAGAATATATTCAATGACATACAATTAAAAAATTCCACGTGTGGGAAACTGGGAAAAGCAACTCAGTTTCATCAAATAAATTTCAAGGGAAGAGGGAAGGAAAGATAACAGATTTTTAGAGACTTAAAAGATATAAGAATCAAGCGTGTGTACCTTGGCATCTTGTTTGGATCAGGAATTGAATAAAGTAATTGTAAGGAGAGAAAAATGGAGAAATGTGGATTTCCTTTTTTAATATGCAGTTTCATTTTTTACTTTTGCTGTGTGACAACTTATTTTAAAATTCTGTTTCTTAAGCCAATAAACATATTATCTTGTAGTTTCTTTGGGTCAAGGATCCAGACATGGATTAAATAAGTTATCTGGCTCAGGGTATCTCACCTTTCAAAGACTGTATTCAAGATATTAGCCAGTGCTGCATTCATCTCCAGGCTTCACCAGGGTAGATCCACTTCCCAGGTGGTAGTTGTGGGATTTAGTTCTTGCTGACTGTTGGACTGAGGTCCTAGTTTATCTCTGGCTATTGAGACTGGAGGCCACCTTGAACTTCTAGCTTTGTATACTTTTCCATAGGAAAGTTCACAAAGTGGCAAGCTGGTATCCATCAGAAGGAAAAATTGAGAGAGTAAGAGGGAGAATTAAGATAGAAGCTGTTATCTTTTGGTGATCTAGTCTCAGAAGTAATATCCCACCATATTTGCTGTATTCTGTTTATTAGAATTATCAGTGGATACAGCCCATACTCAAGGAAAAGGATTACACAGGGTATACAGAATAGGAGTTATTTTAGAAACTGCTTACCAAAGATTAAATTTAATATTAAGAGATTACTGATTTTTAGATGTATAGTTATGATTATTTTGAAAGGTATAATTATGGTTATATTATAAGTTTTATATTTTAGTGTTATACCAACATATTTCCACATAAAATGAATTAATGTCCAGGATTGACTTAAAATAATTCAGTTGGAGACCAGCAGGGGCCAGAGTTGGTGCTGATATTTGAAATTTTCCACAAAATTAGTAAAAACAAACACGAATAGGTAAATAAAACCCTCAGCTCCAAAGTAAGTATTACTTAGTATAGATGATTCATTTTTGTGTTCTTGGATTTTGGAAAAATTATTTATATTTTCATTGTGGTAAAATTTCCATACAATTTACTATCTTAACCATTTGTAAGTGTGCAGTTTAGTGGCATTAAAGATATTCACATTGTTCTGCAGCCAATACCACTACCACTCTAGAACCTTCTCACCATCCCAATCTCTCTGCTCATTAAACTATGAGAAGTCACTACCCTGCCTATGGTATCCCTTACTTTACCTTCTGTCTCTGTGAATTTGATTACTCTAGGTACGTCATACAAATAGGATCATGTAGTATTTCTCCTTTTATGCCTAGTTTATTTCATTTAGCATAAGGTTCATCCATGTTGTAGCATGTATCTGTATTTTTAAGGCAGAATAATATTGCACAGTACATATATATCATATTTATCCATGTGTCCATTGGTGGACATTTCGTTTGTTTTCACCTTTTGGCTATTGGTAATTCTTCCATGAACATAGGTATACAAATTTTGTTCAACTCCATGCTTTCATTTTTTTCATGTATATACCCAGAAGTGGGATTACTAATTCAAATGGCAGTTCTGGATAATTTTTGTACAGCCATAGATTTTTTTTTATATTCCCACCAGCCATGTTATATATTCCAGTTTTTTCACATCCTCAATGAAATTTGATTTTCTATTAAAAATTTTTTTTTAAATTGATAGCCATCCTAATGCATGGGAAATGTTATCTAATTGTGGTTTTTATTTGTTATTTCCCTAATGATTAGTGAAGTTTAGCATCTTTCCATGTAACTTATTGGCCATTTTCACTTCCCCTTTGCAGAAATATCTATTCAAGTCCTTTGCCTATTTTTTAAACAGAAAGATAAATGTTTAAGTCTGTTGAGTAGTAGAATCATCTTGGAGAATCACTGCTATTTCTTAGTTCTGTATCCCTCATTGGAGGTGAAGCCTTTTGAAAGTCAAGACAGTGTCTTTTCTGTCACATTGGTGTTACCTTCAACACAGTGAGAAGTAAATTTTTTTAAAGTAAAGGAATTCTTTTTGTTCTTGTATGTCATGAAAATAAATACTCAGTTTTAGCCCTAGAATTTTAAGCTAAATTTTCTATGGTAAAGAAATACGAAGGGAAAAATCACTACAACTAGTCCTTCTAATAATCTCATTTCATCTCTGTTAAACAAAATTAAAGATATTTTACCCTTATCTCCAAGGGCCAAAAAATAGTAACAAAATACTTGTAAAAATGAATATGATTTATATGAGTGAGTATTTTTTTCTTGGATAAGTTTCTAATTAAACTACATTTCTGAAATAATACTTTTAAATATAAATATTAATAGAATTTCAGATAGTTTAGGAATAAGCAAATGACACTTAAAAATAATTAGTCTTTGTTGGGAAACCTGATAATCTATGCCCCTTTTTTTTGTATTTGAAAGGTTCCTGTTTGATCGAGACACATCTCTTACATTTGAGTTTGGTCTTCATCCTGGTGTAAGTGGTATGTACAAAGGTGAGAATGATTCTCTTCACTATTAAATTTTAATTTTTATTGGTACTTGTTTGCAGTACATAATAATTACATTCATTATAGGAAGCTGTTTACACGTACATCACATCTTAATTCTTTTCAAATTCTTAATTCTTTTATATCCCCTTCCCCTTCATATAAATATCTTTTTTCATAATTGGTATCATGCTACGTATATTTCTTTCTTTGACTATTTTTATCTAGTTGGATTTTTTTGTTTTCATTTTAAATGATTTTATTTAAACAAGATGCTTGACTTGAAGGGAAAGCTAGTATTTTCAAAAGAATAACTTAGTCCTATTTAATGACAGATTGCCCTATATAAAATAGCTACATACAAAAAATATTATAAAATTATTCTTGGTTTTATAATGACAAATGAAAAACATCAAAATTCTTCAAAACAGGTATGCATCAATTTTTATGGATTTTTTGGTTAAAATAGTGAAAATAGTAACATACTAAAATATAAAAATGTAATAGCGTGCTACTAATTTAGGAGAAAGTTTTTTTTTTTTTTTTTTACAGAACTAGTACTTTTTTCATTCCATCAATGGTGGTTAGGGTGGAGTTTCAGTTTGATTGGCTTTGGGATCCAGCTAGGCAGTAATTGGTGGAACAGGCTTCTTCTACATGTGTCTGCGTGAATGGAGGCATTGCCTTGAGGGGCGGCGTCTGTGTCTGATTCCTCAATGGCTTAGCCTATTGATGAATTCATAGATGAATGGGCTCTTAGGTGGTGGGATCTAGTTGGAGGAAGTAGGTGGGTCATAGGGGACATGACCTTGGGGGTCTGCATCTGATCCCTGATCCTTCAGTTCTGGTACTCCTTCCCTGCTCTGTTTCTCAGCCACAATGAACTAAGCAGCTTGCTCTGTCACACCCTTTGGCCATGATGTCTCTGTCTTGGAGCCAGCCAGTTATGGACTGAAACCATGAGCAAATTAAATCTTTCATATGTGAAATTGTAGTTGTTGGTTATTGTATCTTAGTGATAAGAAATCTGACAAATACCAAAAGTTGGTACCCACAGTGGGGTCATTGCTGTGACTGTACTTGATCATACGTTTTAGAAACCTTTTGAATCTGTTTGCTGGAGGAGTTGGGAAAGGTTTGGAGATGTGAGCCAGAGAAGCCATGCATTGCTTTAAATTGAGTCTGATGTGTGATTCTAATCAGAGATAAGAACACAAAAATTCCAGTAGGAACGTGGACTGTAAAAGTCAGGCTCAAGCAGTTTCCATTGGGTTTTGAGGCCATGTATATTGCACAGTGGCAGAAAATTTGCCTACATTTTCCCCCATGTTCTGAGACTTTGTGGGAGATTGAGAAGAGCAGTGGACTAATTAATCTGAGTGAGGAAATTTTAAGCCTAATATTCAAGCTGTTGCATGCTTTTATCCAGGTTTGTAGTGAGAATCAAGGCAAAAAAGCAGAACAGAAGAAATTGAAAAACTTAAATTTTAGCTTAGAAGGAACCATGTATAAAGTTGGGATCAAAAGAAGCGTGGCTGCTGAAGACATTAGTACCATTAAAAAGAAACCAAGACTTTGTATAAGGACAAGAAGAAAGTTGCTTTGAGTGTATCTCAGGAATCAGAAAGCCTCCACCTATTGCAGGCTCAAGGATATAACAGTGTCAACCTTTCTTAAGAAAAAGTCCCAGAGACTCCCGCTCTAGAAGGGCCCCTCAGGTAATTGGTTCCTCAGGTAATTGGTAATTGGATTCATTTCACTGAGCTTAGTCATCCAGGTACTCAGAGGTCCAAAGGGGCCTGAGTACTGCCCAGCTGATAGTAGACCTTGCCTTCGTCCACATAATATTGATTTTCCTGGCTTGTTAGATCAGGAAGGCTCTTATCCAGATTTGAAGGGAAGAACTAGCAGGAAGGAGCCTGTGAGAGGGTAGTGCATAAAGCTATGGGAATGCAACTAGTGGTATAGTGGAGACTTCAGGAAGTTGGAGATGCCAGAAACATGAAAAGCTGCATGCTGTGAATAGTCACTCTGAGAGAGAGAGGCCATATGTGTGCCAACTGGGAAGGCCTCAGGATCAGGGTGCCTGAGCCATTTGGAACTCACATTTTACTACTGTATGCCCTGGATACCAGATAGGGAGCTACAGGACTTAATAATAGAGAACTAACTCATTAACTCTACGCTTACCTGGAGATTTAACTAATATAACTACAGATAATACTTCTTTATCTTATGGTGTTCCACTTTGTAAAAATGCTATAGAAATGGACCATGTAGGAATGGAATAGATTAATAAAAGGGAATTTCCCAGATGGCATCCCTGTGGATTTTCTACATCAGGTGTAGCTTATACCCTTTATAATACATCTGTAAAAATACTTGATTAGTCAGTTTCTAGCCCTATGATTATTCTCAATATCCTAAAAATAATAGCTCTAGATTTGGGTGGTGGGAGTCTACCTTACCTATTATTGGTCCCATCCGGTGTTGGTATCCTCCAGGGTGGGGTATCACCTATATATACAACAACATTTTCTAAACGTCCTCAGACAGGATTATATAGATTGTTTGCAGCAATGAGACCAATTACCATGTATAGACCCAGCAATAAAATATCAGATATTTTTAGTGTTAGAGCCTGTACAACTTCGCCCTTTGCTGTTTTATCTATGGGGCCACAAGGAAATCTTTCCATAACTCAGTTGTTAAATCACACTTATGCTATACAGTGTCAAGATTATATTCTGACCGACTGCCTGAATTCTTCTTTTAATTTACATACATTTATCATTGTTGCCAACTTCCTTATGTTATATTACCTGTCAATCTTACTGAAAAATGGTATGATAATCCTAGATTGCATGCTTTAGATATTATTTCCTCCTCTCTTTCTCAACCTAAAATCTTTGTCAACCTAAAATCGTGACAGCTCTGATTTTAGGAATCACTGCATTGGTAGGTATTATAGGAGCCTTAACTGCTTCATCTGTAGATTAGTAAAAGAAATCCACACTGCTAACCATGTGAGTGATTTGACAAAAAATGTTTCCTTAGCGCTAGCAACTCAGGAGATTATAGATAATCTTAGAAGAAACAGTTCTATTTGTAGGGAATCAGATCCAAAACTTAAAAGTTTGCCTTGCTTCTGTCTGCCATGCTAATTATAAATGGATTTGCGTTACTCCCTTATCTTATAATTCCACACAGGTATCTTGGAAACAGGTACAAGCCCACCTTAAAGGTGTTTGGAATAAGTCTCAGGTAACTATGGATATAGATCACTTACATCAACAAATAAGATTTATTAGTCAGGCTCAGATTCAAACCTCTTCAGCAGAAGATATTGCACCTTCCTTTTTGGGCTCTATAAATTCTGCAATTACTGGAAAAATCCTTTGTTTCCATGCTTATCAACCTAGGCATCAGCCTGCCCATTATATTAATACTAATTTTTTGTCTTCCAGTCATCTTCAGACAACTGATTCAAGCAATAAAATCAACACAAACTGAACTTCAGACCTTCAAGCTAAAAAATAAAAGCCAGAGCAATGGTGATGCCCATGGTTCCTCTATTGCTGCTTGACAAAGTTCTAGCAATGACCGGCCTCGGGTTGTAAGCATTGCTCCAGCTTTTATTTTTGCTTGCACTTTTGATTGGCTGAATTGTAGTTACGGAAATTTGGTTTTAATGAAAAAAATCTGTACAAGCTACTTTCGAAAAATGTGTGTCAGTTGTGTCAGTCATAGAATCCCTAAGCACTACCCCTGATCCAGGGACTTTCTTTGAAGGGTTTTCCAGTTTTTCAGTAATTGAGGATTTCACTCTAAAATAGCCCCCCAACCCCAGTTTTCTTCCTACTTATAAAAATCCCAGAGAGGTGCTCAAAGATTTGTGGTAGAGCGATCACATGGCCACGAGGCAACCCCCGTTTCCTACACTGGGGCTTACATAGATAAAGTTAGAATGGTATGGGAAGATGAAAAGTAAGTAAGATTAGCCCTTTGCAGAAAGAATGAAATGTTCAGGAACACAGTGATGTCTACACACTAAAGAACAAGTAAATACTATTGCCAGGCAGCTGAATAGTTATTATAGAAAGGCTTATCAAGTGCAAAATCCTTGCTTTCTGACTATATAAAATAAAAGTTTAACCAAGAAGTTGAGTAACCACAGTAGTTCTTTATTAAAACCTAGTGACCTGCTAAAAGTTGGCCACAGTCTTATCATTGTAGCTGAAATAGATGTATGAACTTTGAAAAATGGTGGCAAGCTTGGATTATTCTTTTGATTTTGCTTTCATTTACACTTTTACTAGGAAATTGTTTGATTAATGATAGCTGAGGAATAGATAAAATGTTCCCAGAAATAACAATAATAAAATAGGTATGTGCTGTAGTTTATTGGAAAAATGATCTTAAAAGTTTTTATCTAGAAATTGTAAATGTATGCCAATTTCCGTATGTAACCTTTACTATATAATATAAATAAAGAAGTCCTCCAATGTTCAGAAGGCATACTGTTGAGGTCTCCTTCTAGAGGAGGGGACTCGGGGAGACCACCGCGGACACAATGAATGACCAAAAGCTGATGGCTAATGGCACAGTTTATTTCTAACGCCGGGTGTTGTATACTAGTTTCAAGGCCACACACTCAAGCATGATCTCAGCGATTGGTAATAAATCCCAATCACAAGGAGGCATGGGTAAGATAAACAATCAGTCACAAGAATCAACAGGCAGATATACACTGTTTAAGCTAAGAATATAACATCAAGATAAGACAACATCTGTTTATGACAAGAAGGGAGTGTAAACTGGGAACAAGAGCAAACACAGAGTTCAGGGGGTTGTTTGTAGATCAAGGGATTTGGCTCCAGCACGTCACCTTCGGGTCTCCTGTGCTCCAGTGAGAACAAGCATTCCAGGGCTCAGGGTCAGCACTTTGGCTGCCCGTCCTCTCATGCCCCAACAGCACACTACCTCATACCTACAGAGTGTGTCTCATTCCTTCACAAGAGCCGACTCTAACCCTCCTCCTCAGGACCTGAACCCTCGCCAAGGCTAGACCCTGGCACTTAATGTTTGCCCTGCTGGTTTTCAGTGTTGCTTTGGTCTGATTCTTTTCTATCCCCCTATTCATCCCTTTTGGAATGGGAATATTTGTCCTGTGCCATCCTGTGCCATTGTATCTTGGCTTTATATAACTTCATTTTTTTTTTTTTTTTTTTTTTTTTTTTAGGAATTGAACTTGGGCCCTTGCACTTGCAAGGCAGGCACTGGAACCACTGAGCTGAATCCCCATCTCCTGTGTAACTTGATTTTGATTCTAAAGAAGTTCAGGGCTAAGCATTTGCCTTGAATCTCAGAAGAGACTGGATTTTTGGGAAAGGCTGAAACTATCGATCCTTTGGGAAAGGGATTATTGCTTTTCCAGTATGCAGGATAGTTGTGTTTTATTAGGTGGAATTATGAATTTACTGTTGTCTTTATTTGAAAATTAGGTATAGTTTGAGATATGTTTGTGTGGCAGGTTGAAAAAGGATGAAATGTAGCAGTTAAGGTTGAGTTTCAAATTGGTGTCTTAGTTTTTAATTGCTTGGTCAAAATACTGAACACTCACAACTTAAAGGAGGAGGTTTATATTGGCTCATGTTTTAGAAGTTTCAAATGCAGAAAGCAACATGGCAGAAGGTCTTGTTGAGGATGAAAACTGCTCATGTCATGGCAACAGAGAGAAATAAGGAGCCAGGGAGGGAGATATACTGTCCTCCAGTAACTTGCCTTTTCTGGCTTTCAACAACACACTCAGCTGCTAAACTCACCACTAGATGATTCCACTGATGTAAATATAGCACACTCATGAATCAGTTCCTTCCCACAAGCTCCACCTATGAGTGTGAGACCTTTGGGGGACATTTTTAATCTATACCATAACAATTAGCTTTGGAATCTATCCTGTAGATTGGTGGAACCCACTTCTATCTATATTGGGGTGGGTCTTGTAGGCCTGGCCTTGGGGGTCTGTGCCTGGTTCCTCACCCCTTCTGCTCTGGCACTCACCTTGTTCTTCTTCCAGAATGTCAAGCACTAAGCATCTTTGTTCTGCCATGATGTCTCTAATTGGAGCCAGCACATTGTAAGTTGTGGGTGTTGGATATTAGGTCTCCATGAGAAAGCTGCCTAATACACCAGCTCCACCTGTTTTTGATCAAAGTACACATTGGCTATTTAGTTAGGAAAAACATTATGCTTTATATATACATCAGTTACTTTATACATAATAAAGGATTGGGGCAGGGGAAAACGAAAACTATTGTAGAGAAATTTATACTGTAATTGTCAGGATGTGGTACAACCAAATTGCTTTTTTTAGGGAGAGGGGATATTAAGTATATGACCCAGGGACTTTGCACTGAGCCATATCACCAACTCTTTTAATTATTTTAGAATTTAATTAAAAATTTTTTTTTTACATATGGTTTGACTATGTAGCCCAGGCTGGCCTCAAACTCACACCAATCCTCCTGCTTTAGCCTCCCAAGTGCTGGGATTACTGATGTGTGTCACCATGCCCAGCATTATTTTTTACTTTGAGACAGTCTCATTAAATTGACCAGTCTGGGTTTGAACTCATCTTCTTCCTGCTTCAGGCTCCTAGAGTGATGGGATTATAGGCATGTACCACCACACCCAGCCAAATAGTTGCTTTCTTTCTTTTTTTTTTTTTTTTTTTTTTTTTTTTCAACTCGGGGCCTTGCGCTTGCCAGGCAGGCCACTGAACCGCTGAGCTAAATCCCCAGTGAATTGGTTTCTTTTTTCTTTTTTTGTAAATAGTTGATTTTAATTGAGAATTCATTCTTAGTTGATAACAGTAGTGTTCTGTAGTAAAGTAGCAAATTTTCTTTTAAGTAAACACTTCCTGTTTGCTACTGGTGTTCATTTGCATCTTTATCCTCTACGTGTCCCAGTTCAGGTGTGCATCTTTCATTGATTGACGGCTTGGATGTCAACCCTATTTACAGTAGGCTTTCATGAATTTACTAAGTCATGTGTGCCTCTCAACTTTAAGCTGCATCACAGAACCATCCTGTTCCACCATCATCAGATTAGTAAAATGGTTCTCAATCTTTACTCCTTCATTGGGCTTTCCATTGCCATGGCAAGTGGCATATTCTCCCTAGTTGCTGTTGTATAAAAAAGGTACCAGTTCTGCATGAAGGACCAAAGGAGTCTACCTCAACTTTTAAAATTGCTTGTACCATTCTATGATTGTATCTTATATAATGACTTAATGATATTTATGATGTTTTTCACTACTGTTACAAATATCACTATCCTAATACTTGTATGGTTGCTTACTTTTTTGATTATTACCATAGAATAACCATCTGCAAGAAGATTTGCTATTAAGGGGTATAAGCATGGCAGCTTTTAATATATATGGCCCCTAAAAAGATGGCTTTTTACTCTCTGTGTCCAACAAAGGACATATTCATATATATCAATATATTATTTATAGTTTTTAAAATTTGAATTACCTGCATCTTTCCTAAGTATTTTCATTTTGTTATTGACTTATAGAATCATTTTATGTATTAAAGATAGCAAACTTGTGTCACGGTTTATTGTAGATACACTAATTTTCTGGTTATCTTTTAATGTTATGAATGATATTTTATTGTGAAGAAATTTTAAGTGTTTATATAGTGTAGTCTGTTTTTCTAAAGTTTTCTTCATTTTTGTCAAACAAAAATATTTTACCTACTTTAAAAGCATAAGATACGTTTTTAAAAAATTTTCATTTATTATACTTACATATTTTACATTTATATCTTGAATGTGTTTGAAATAGTCTGGCATATGGGAAAGGAAAGGCTGTAGTTTTTCAAATGGTTAACCAATTACTTCATTATTACTAGGTAATGCATAATCTGTCTAAAATCCCACTGTTGTCATATATTCTCAGGTACACACACACACACACACACACACTCACACTTATTTTCTGAGTTATGGAAGCTAGGAAGTGCAAGATCAAGGTGCTGCTGAGAGATTCAGTTCTTTTTTTTTTCATAGTGTTTGCTTTTTATTGAGACAGGGTCTCGCTATATAGTTCAGGCTTGAACTCACTGTGTAGCCCAAGATGGCCTCAAATTTGGAGTGATCCTCTTGCCTCAGCCTCCCAAATGCTAGGATTTACAAGCGTGCATCACCACACCCAACTCAAGATTCATTTCTTTCTTTGCTGCTGTTGTTGTTGTTGTTTTTTTTTTTTTGAGACAGGGTCTCACTATGTAGTTGAGATTGACCTCGAGCTCACTGTGTAGCCCAGGCTGGTCTCGAACTCACAGTGATCTTCCTGCCTCAGCCTCCTGAGTGCTGGGATTACAGGCATGCGCCACCACGCCCGCAAAGATTCATTTCTTGATGATTACCTTCTTTCTGACTTGGCAGATGACTGTCAAATTGCTGTGTGCTCACAAGAGAGAGAGCTCTAGTCTTTCCTTTTCATATGGATACTAGTCCCATTTTGAGGGCTCTATTCTCATGAACTCATCTGAACATACTTACCTCTTATACCCTACAGGATGATTATTTATTTTTTGGTGATATTGAGGATTGAACCAAGAGGCACTTTACCACTAGCTTATATTATAGGTATGCGTCATTGTACCCAGTTACAAAATGACTTTTAATGACATTTTGCATTGTCATTTGAATGTCACTGAGCCATTCTCAGAGCTGATCAATAAAACTAGTGCAAATTGATGATTATATTTCATTCTAGACACATCTTCTCCTGAGATTCAGCTTGGATGCAAACTCAGAGAGGATTCACAAGAGCAAATGAATAAAAATAAAGTGATGCCAATTCTTAGTGAGGATTCAGTATTACAGGTATGTAGCATGTTGGCTGAATGTGTATTAAAAAACCAGAAATGGAGAGCTGGGGATTTAGCTCAGTGGTTCTGCCTCCTGCCTCGCAAGTGCAGTAGTCCCAAGTTCAATCACCAGTGCCAAAAATAAAACAAAAAAAACCAGAAATATTGTTTCTTAAGGTGGTAAATTACTATTTATAATTCTTTTTGTCTAGTATTTTTCTTTGTTTCTTTTCCTGTCAGTTTTTACCTCTGTTTCTTTGCTAGTTTTTTTTTTTTTTTTTTTTTTTTTTTTTTTTTTTTTTTTTTTTTTTTTTTTTTTTTTTTATTTTTTTTTTTTTTTTTTTTTTTTTTTTAGTTGACCTTTATTAGTCTGGCCAGAGGCACTCCCAGAGCCAAGTAGCTCTGAGAGGAGCCAGCTCAGGGGCTGAGGTCCTTTTTATAAAGGGATAAGGCAGGGTGGGAATCTATACTCAATATGCTTACAGTATGTCCCAAGGTTTTAAAAACATTCCTTCCTGGCAGACAAGGAGTGAAACAATCTTATCTGTTCACCCAGAACTTCTAAAGGTTCACCTGCTAATTTACACTAATCACAGTTGAGACTAGGAATTTACTTAAAATTACAAAGTTATACAGTCCCACATTCCCCACTGGCTTTAGGTAGAATCAAATCCTTGATTCATCATTATACTTAAATTTTTAGCTAAGGGGTCATAGCAATTCGTAAAGGCATCTCTTTAGACAGATAAGTTTGGGATTAGGATCCCCAGAGCACATGAAGGTCACATTTCAATCATCTGTAGGCTCATAAACTCTTAATTCAAAAGCATAATAGCTCATAACAGTTTGACACAATGTAAGAGTCCATATCTTGATTGCAGTTCTCATTCTTCAGCCTTGCGTGGACTCACCGGCTCCTGGTGTGGTGAGAGCAGGGCCTTGAGTGTGTTGTCTACTGGAGTCAGAGTCTGTGGAATTTTATAAAGTCTCTCAAGATACAGGATGGCCTTCCAAACAGGACCTCATATGGGGAGAACCCAGTATGACTTGGGGTATCTCTTATTTTAAAGAAGACCAAAGGGAGCCGATCAACTTATAACCCGGTGTTATCTGACAATATTTACCTTACAATTCATCTTTTTTTTTTAAGCCTTACAAGAACTCTGAGGTCAATAAGCAGTATAACAGTTTAGCTAGATCATGTACAACCTCTGTTACAAATGCTGGCACCCATTGTCACTGACTATGGAGAGAGGCAGACCAAACCTTGGAATTTTTAAAAATAAAATCTTGCACATCTCTGAAGCCCGCTTTGTTTTTATAGGGAAGGCCTCAGGCCATCCAGAAAAGTACAAACCCATACTAACACATTTATAACCTTTACAGGGCCTGGGTATAATCATCTAAAGTTTCTGTTTAATGGCCCTTTTGGCTTATATGTCTACCTTAGCATTGCCATTTGCTATTGCATCTTTTCTTTCTTGAATTATTATAGCTACTTTGTCAGATTTCCACGTTGCCTCAAATAACTATATTATAAGGGCTAGTTGTTTTAAGATACCCCCTTCCCTTATGGCTTTCTTTTTCTGGCCGACTTGTGAAAATGAGAAGAACAGAGGTTAAAAATAGGATATGATAATGTGATTTTTATCTTCATTTCATGTCAGAAGTCATTTTAAATTTATGAAGAAGACAAAGCTGTGTGGTATAATTTGAGATGTGGGCTGCTAGGTTATGTGTGAATATAGGTACACACATAACTTAACAATTTTTGTTTCGTTTATATGCAAGCACTATAGAGAAAAGTAAGATATATTACATATGTCAGTTAGAACTTTGGCATAATTTTGTTAGCCATCCAGAGATACGTACTTAACAAAACTGAGATCAGTTCCAGAGTGACTCTGAAAGACTATGTAATATTATAGCCAGGAAGGTTAATCACATGGTTTTCTTTGATAAGAAGAGAAAACAAATCACCAAGTTTTTTAGAACTGATACTTACATTTGGCTCTAATAATATGTTTTACAACTCTGTGAAGAAAAAAAAAAACATTTTCCCTCTATCTTCAATAACTGTATCAGTCAGTATAGGCTACCCGTAGAGTCAGGTGTAGAGGAATGCAAAAAGGCCATCTGTGTACTAGAGATCTGAAGGATCCAGTCAAAAGTCTAGGCCTGCAGCTCACTGCAGAGCCAGGTGTGAGGCTATATCGGGAAACAAAGGATCTGTGCTGAAAGGCAGAAGAGTCCAGGCTGAAAGTCTGCCTGTAAGTGGACATCCAAAGGAAATGGGGAAGCCTGGAGCTCCTCCCAAGAAAAGGAAGCAAGACTTCTTTCCCTTTTTATTACATCCAGGATATAAGCATTTGGTTAGTTCCGCTCATACCTGAGGGTGGGTCTTCCCTTTTCAGGAAATCTATTCAGTCATGCTCTGAACTATGCTAAACCAATCAGCTAGGTGTTTTTTTTTTTTTTAATTCATTTTGACACCACAGTTAATTACCACAGTAACTGTAAAATGAGAAACATTTTTCCATATGCTTTATTAGTACTTGCCATGTAATTATTGTACCAGGCCCTCAGTTGCACCTCAGAAAATGGTTCTGAATACTATCAAACTGCTTTGGGTTACTTTTTAAAAATAAGAATTCCCAGATCTGTACCTGGGTAGAACCTGGGAATATTCAGTTTTTTAAATCCTCCCAAGTAATTTCTAGTGATCCGTCAGTGAGAACAATTGCCTGGATTATTGAAGAGTTAATGAATTTATTGAGAGGACTTTAAGAGTTAATAAATGTGTCTCTCAGAGTTTATCAGCAGATAGTAGATAAGTTATCTAGTGTCTTATGGCTTGTATCTAGATGTCCCCCCAAAGCCACATGGGCTTATAGGTGTGGCTTTTGGGAGGTGGCTAGATCTAGGGTTTATGAATTGGTTTAGCACAGTTAGGTGTAGGTAATGGAAGGCCCAACCTGGGTGTGGGTGATACCAATCAAGAGGCTTGTATTGGGAATGGAATGTAAGGGACCAAAGAGAAGGCAGGCTGCTGCTTGCTGCTTCCTGCTTAACCTGGAATAGGTTGTTTCTCCCCTGTGCCCACCCTCTGCCATGGCACCCTGCCTTGGAGTCAGCCAACAGTGGACTGAAAACTCTACAAACTGAGCTAAAATAAACCTTTCTTCCTTTAACTTGTAGGTATTGGGTATTTTTTCCTAGTAAGGAAGAAATAACTAAGACATGGTAATTATGGGTTTGTTGTGAAATTGGAATGAGAAGAATAAATGAAGTATTTAATGTTTGTCTCACTTTTTCACTTTCACTGGAAAACTAGATACATTATTTGACTTTCCCTTATACCCATTTGCTTTTCCACCTACAGTAAAAATTAGTGTAACAGTGTTGAAACATCTGTAACAAATTTTAGTATTTTCTAAATTGACATGTTACTTTCACCTACTTTTCCCTGCCTTTTTTTTTTTTGGTACCAGGGATTGAACTCAGGTCCTTGTTCTTGTGAGGCAGGTGGTGACACCACTGAGCTAAATCCTGGCCCCTGCTTTTTACTTTTATCCTATGACAGTAAACACTTTGAAGTTTATGTAAGAGAATCTGATCTTATCATCTATAGAAGTGGAAAGCTCTGAAAGGGCTAGGGATTTAGCTCAGTGGCACAGCACCTACCTCAGAAGTGCATGGTCCTGAGTTAGATCCCTGGTACTAAAAACAAACAAAAACAAAAAAACTCCCCAAAAGACCCCACTTATTTAAAGGAAAAGTACATCTTTATGACAAACCAGATTTCTGAATAAATTCTGCCTAACTACTCAGATACCAAATGACATTTCAACCTCAAAAAAGAGCATTTTAGAAATAATATGCTACTTTAAGGATAAACAGGAAGAAATTGGGGATCTTTGGTTTAATGTATACCATACTAATTTTTTTAAAATATGGGAAAATAATTTCATATTATTTTGGGGGTTTTCCAATACCTTTTCTAGTTTTTTTCTTTTTTTACATGTGCTATATATAGCAAGCAGTTTTAAAATTTAATGTGGATAAAATTTCTTTGGAGAGTTTAGTGTTATATCTGGACAGATAATTAGAAACATTGAATCTATCAAAATAGTATATGTGATAGTTAATTTTGTGTGTCAGCTTGGCTCAGCTATGGAATATCCAGGTAATTGGTCAGACATTCTCTAAGGTTGTTTTGGATGAGATTAACTTTTAAATCAGTGGTCCTAAGTAAAACAGATTGCCGTCCATCTTGTGGGTGGGATTCATCCAGTGCTTTGAAGGCCTGAATTGAACAAAAAGACCTGCTTTTTCCAGGGAGAGAGAATTTTTCAAAAAACTGCCTTTGTACCTCATCTGAATCCCCAGCTCTTCTGGATATTTGAAGGCTGGTCTTCAGGCTTTTTCTGTATCATCTGCTATTCTGGTTGTGTTCGCCAGCCTTTGGATTGTAATGCACTTTTGGCTCTGTGAATCTCAAACCTGACAGCCTACAGGGCAGATTTGGGATTAGAACCCATAATTGTCATCACCTTATAATAGATCACTTTTTCTGTATATACATATCCTGTTGGTTTTGTTTCTTTGGAGAACCCTCAATAAAGAGTAGATATTTCTGGTCCTATAATCAAAGGCTATCTATAAGATAATTGTTTGACAGGGAATAATGGGATAACACAGCAGCTGAGGCTAGAGTGACTTGTACTCAAACTCCGTTCCCAGAATTGAAATCTTCTTTAACTGAAAAGACAGGTTAATTGTTAACCACAATCTATACCTGGTCTATTTTGTTCCCAATGTAAGAATGCTTTGTTCTTTTTTTTTTTTAATTTGTTCTACAATTTTGGAAAAGATGGCCATGTTCATGTTCATGTTCATCATGTTCATTACTTGATGCAGAGTTTGCACACAAAATTTTGGCCAGAAGCCTCTGTTTGCAAATCAGATTGTTTGCAAACGAAAGCATTCATGAACTGAGGTCCCACTGTATGTCCTATATGAAATAAGCTAATCAAAAAATGAAATATTGTTTGATCATCTTAGGTCTATTTTGCTCAGGTTAGTTTGCTCTTTGTTGACCAAATCAAAGGGGGCTGTTTATTTTGGTAAAAAGGAAAAAGGATTTATTCAGAGCTACCCTAAAGGAGATTGGAGGGTCCTCATCACCCAAATAACCATCTCGGTATTATACAGGTGTGTTAAAAGTCTTTTGTAACAAGGAACAGTAGGAGAGGCAAGGAACAATAGGGGAGGGGAAACAGTGAAATAGATTTGTCCAGGCTTGTTTCATCCCTCCCTGGACAAGACCTCTTTTCCCTAAAGATGTGAATCTGGACTTTTGATAGCACATGCTGGATCCAACAGATAGGCTCTTGTGTATGACAAGCAAAAAATTGCAAGTGTACACCCACTGTTAAAAAGCAGCTACATTTGTTTCAAATAATAGGAAGATTTCCTCAGGGCAGGTCTGTGCCAGCAGAAACAAAAAGGATGGCATGAAGAGAAAAGGGGTGTCAGGGCGATAGGAAAATAAAAATCACAGCACACAGATAAATCAGGCTTTTGGATTTGAAAAAGAAGTGAATTCCTCTCATTGAGTGTCTAGGAAAGATTGACAGGAATGATTGCTGGGGTATTTACTCATCTCAGGGGCTTTCAGCCAGCATGTGTGTCCCAAAATTCACAGAATCTAATCAAATTACTTGTATGAGATGCAGTCCATATTTATTAATCTTTAATAAGGCTAGAATGGGAAAAAGATTACTGAAGGTTAGGAGAGGAGAGCTAACACATATGTGCCTGGAGCCTAAGAGATTTCCCAAGTCTTTGTTATTGTACAGTAAGTCCCAGACTTTCAAACATTCAAGTTGCAAACTTTAACAGATACAAATGGACCTCTCGTTACAAACGTTCATAGATGCAAACAAATTGAGGAACCAGCTCATGTATCTGCCAGACATTGTCAACAGTTGTGCTGCCATATGCTTACTATATATAGTATAATGGTGTACAGAAGTACGGTGCTCAGAGTCCAGGATGAAGATGAAACAAGAGGAAGAGCATTGGTGATGTGGAGGGGACTGCTAGGAAGCACAAAGCAATGTATATTGTATATTTGTGTCAGAGGTGTATAAGACTTACTTTGGCAGACTTACGAATGAACCTGACTTAACAAATGTCACAGAGTGGAACTCATAAGTTGGGGACTTACTGTATTTTCTGCTTCTTTCAGAACAATGGAAGGAGGATTGGCTTTGGTTGTTGTCCAAATTCAAGTGGTAAAAGGGAGTGGCCTTCAAGCTCCCATTGTGCTACCTGTATTACCAGATGTTGTCAGCAACTACATATTCTGCCCATTCATCTGGGCTGAGGAGAAGTAGGCGTACAGTTTAGATGCGGCTGAAGGAAGTTTGAAGATGCCACTTGTCTCTAAAGGAAAAAAAAAAAAGTTTAATTTTGCAGTGCTGGTTACACTCATATACTATTCTTAGAGACACAAAATAGAATGGTGGTTGCCATGGGTGAGGGGCAAAGGTAATGGGTATTTTATGTTTAGCCTGTATTGAGTTTCAGTTTCAGAAGATGGAAAGTCCTAGAGACAAATCATGGTAATAGTTTCACCATAGTGTGAATTAATGCAGTAACTTGTACATTTAAAAATAGGTAAGATGGTAAATTTGATATATATTTTACTGTAACAAGGAATCTGAGAGTGACACAAGAATAATCTTAAATGCCAGTTTTTAGCCTGTTGCATTAGAATAGCATTTATCAATTGGAAAAATAAAAAACTGTTTTTCTTCTTAGCAACCTCAAGATGAAACAGAACAAAATCGAGGTGTGTTACAGTAAGTGCACACATTTTTTGCTTCATTATATTGTGAGGTTTTTTTTGGTTTATAAAATTGTATATTTTTTAATAATTACCTTTAGTAGCATAAGTATATATTATTTTACAAATGTTCTAAATTAGTTTCATTTCATAAGAAAGATTGAGTCAGATTAAGTTAATTCTGTCTATTAATATTACTGAAAGAACAAACTTACAGCACAACATAAAGGAAGAATTTGTAGAGTTTACTAAATTAGACAATGCACCTCCCTCCTATACTTCAAGACTTTATTCTTTCAGTTCTTTTAAAAACAGTGTTTCTCAAAGTAAAGTCTAGCATTCCCTAAGTTTTCTTTTAGAGCGCCTGTTAGGTCTAAACTATTTGTTACTGTAATGATAGTAACATTATTGTCACTTTTCATGGTGTTTACCTTTGCACTGCCAGTATAAACTAATGATGGTTAAATTGCTGGAGCTTTACTAGGAATCAGGGCAGTGGCACCAAAAAATATTGGCAATCATCTTGTTTTTCACATGTACTAGCAGTTAAAAAAAACCAAAACAGTTTCACTTAAGGATGTGTTTGATAAAGCAGAAAAATTACTGTTTTGCAAGCATTCAAGTATGTGTATCTTTTTAATATGATGTGTGATGAAAAGGTCCTTTTGACGTTATCTTAAAGCCTAGCCTCCATCTGATGTGTCGCTGGCCATAGTTGTATTGTTTTTACCTTTTGTTTTGACTTTCTCAGGGCTTAGCCCTGTCTGACTGCGCATTACCTTTCTATCTAACTTAGCTGTCTATAACATTCTCCCTTCTAAAGAGGTATCCTGAACTGCTGTGAGGGGGGAATGGGTGACGACTGTTCCAGCTACTTCAGGTTGAAGAGGGTCATAGTTGTGATTGGTAGTCTGAGATACTTTTCAGAAGGTCTATCTATGTAAAGGCCCTTGATGGACATCAGTTGTTCTTGTCATGGGTGGTTATATAGCTTTAAGTCTGGAGGAGACAAGGCCAAAGAAACAGTTAAGTATACGTGGGCCAAATAATAGGATCAACAAGGCTGTTGTGAATACAGCCAACAACTGGCTCTTCTGTTTTCACTGGGAGAGCCAGTTATAGCCTCTCACAAAGAGCGTAAGGAGAAGTCCCAGGGGATTTTAGAATCTGATGTGGCCTTAACCTGTGCTTTACTATCTTTAACAGCCATAGAGATATAAGCAGACGTATCAGGAATGTATACATAATGTTTAGATTTTACAGTTGCGCAAGTATCCCAATGTGCTGCTGTTAGGATGTCTAATGCCATCCAATTTTTGAAGGATAGCTTGTCTCATTAACTTTACTTATTTATTTAGGAGAGAGACCTGTTGAGGTGGTGTTTAAGGCCCATTGAGTATATAGTTAGTCAAGGCCTTCATATATTGTATGACATCTTTTAATCTTAGGGAAGGGACAAAGATAGAAGCCAAATGATTATACCAGTAAAACACACTTCTAGACCATTGATACAGACAGGGTAAGTTTGCAGGTTTGTCGTTATTTTGATACTCCTGTGTTGTTTTGTTGTTGTTGTTGTTTGTATTGGGGATTGAACTAAGGACCTTGTGCCTGTGAGTCAAGCAGTGGAGCCACTGAGCTAAATCCCTGGCCCCTTGATACTCCTACCTTGTAACCATGTATCTTTCTCTAGTTTTGGCTATAAGAAGGCAAATAATTTGGTGGTTTTGAAGGACAATTTTAACTAAAGAACTTAAAAACTCTTAGTGAGGTTTTATAGCTTTTACCATAATTTTTTCTCATTGAACCGTAACTGTGGTCAGCTACTGGTATGGTTGGAAACTGCCAGAAGGGGTCAATGATTGGAGCCCCTTTTTATATCTAGCTTTTAGTACTGTGATATTGTTTTTATATCTCTTTTAGTTGTACTTTTATGCTAGGTATTTAAGACCAAGTTAAAATGGGACCTGCATTAATTAAAATTAACTTCCTGCTGTCTATGAAGGTCAGGTAGGTGTCCTCAGGCATTACTTTTGGAACTATGCTCAGATCCTCTCAGCTCCCCTGACACTGAGTCATCTCAGCAGCATCATAACATGCATATGTGTTCAGTGTACACTCTGATTCAGTTACATACATGAGATGCAATCCATATTTATGAACCTTTAGCAAATGGGAAACGATTATTGAAGGTCAGGTCAAGAGTTCCAACAGGCTTGTGCTCTGGCCTGGAGTCTCAGAGATTTTGTCAGACTTTGTTATTTTCTACTTCTCCCAGAACAATGGAAGGAGGATTGGCCCTTCAGTATTGCGCAAATTCAAGTTGGTGGAGGGGTTGTAGCCTCCCACCCAATTGTGCTACCTGTACTAACTCTATTCCATAACATGTTTAATCATTCATCTGTAGTTGGATGTTTAGATTATATGCAGTCTTGTCTGCTAAAAGTAACTATTTAAAATGATTTGGATAAAGCTTTGCTGTATTTTTAGACTTAGATCTTAAATTGCAATTCAAGAAAAAAATTATCTTATTGATTTATACTATGCCTTTATTTTATTTTTGATCAGCTTGTTGTTTTCAAAGAATTATACTTTAGGAAATGGTCAATATTGTTTCCTAGTTCTTTCATGGAAATTATCATTCTGTATGAGTGGTTTCATTTCAATTTTTAGGATAAATTACATTGATCACTTTTGTTTTTGGACAGGAGAGAATGCTCAGTTTATTATTCTTGCTTAGGATTTAAGTGTTTAAGACTAGTGCACAAAAAGCTATTTTTAAAAAATAAGGTGTCTTTTTGTTGTTGTTGATTTTTGAGACAGGGTCTCACTGTGTAGTTAAGACTGATGTGGAACTCACTGTGTAGCCCAAGTTGGTCTCAAACTCACAGCGATCCTTTTGCCTCAGCCTCCCAAGTGCTGGGATTACAGTCATGTGCCATCACACCCCGCTAAAGTGAAGGTGTCTTGATTGCATTAATGCAGTAAATTAGGTTAAAAATTGCTGTTTGTCTTTCTTCAATAAACTTGTAATTATCTAAAGGTGGAGAATCACAATTACAAATTCCGCATTACCCTTCTTTTGCTTTCAGCTTCTTTCTTTTTGTACTTTTGCCTTTTCTTTGTCTGCTGCGAATACAATAATGATAAATTAATATCTGAGAAATTTCTTATTAGTGACTTTCACTTATACCTAAAACTAACACTTATATACAAAACTATAACAACAAGCTGTGTTTGAAGATTTAGATTGTCAAACTACATTATTCAGTACTATTTTCTCTTTTATCCCATTATTACCTGACAGATAGTAAATTTGCTTTCAGACTTTCAGTTTAGATTGTTTCTACACTTGAATTCACCCATTAGATTTTTTCAGCTCTGTCCTTCATTTTTATAGTCATTTGAATCATAATTGATAACAAATTGATACTAACAAACATTGGAATGGTGTAGTTTAAAAAAAGGTCTGATTTGGAAAGCTCTTAAAGAGTTTTTTTCTTTCTACTCAACAGTTTGTTTTTATTAATTATTTTGATTTTATAGGACTACAACAAATTTTGCAATGTCCACTGTGTCATTTCCCCAGGATGGGTTTTCATTGAACCAGCAAAACTTCGGAGGTAAGTGTGCACAGCAGAGGTGTTACAGGAGGTGAAATAGGACCTCTAAATGATACAAGAGAAATATTATGACTCTCAACCTATCAGATGTCTAATGTGCCAAGTTCATGTTCTCTAAAATTGAAGAATGATTTCTAGAAACAACAGAGATTAAGAATTGGAAAATATATTGAGGAGCTATTTCCTGAGGCAGGAGGGGTCCCTTTTGGGTAGCTGGGGATCCCACTTCATAGGGAAGTTTCATAGATCAAAACCCATGTAGGTACTATGTGTTTTATAACTATGATCAGTAAAGTTACAGGTATAGTTACTTAGGTAATAGTGACCCAATGGGGGAAGCAAGTCATGTAGTAAGAGTACATGGAAAAAACAAAGAACTTCTCAGGTAGGTGATGGATGTGGGGGTCTTGGTGACCCACTTAGGCAACTGATGCCTATCTAGACTTCACCAGACCAGATGTTATCACTTGAGGAAGTATTTAGGCCTATTCCTTTTGTTGTTATCTTGAGGCCTAGCCTGAGGTTGATATGGCTCTGGCCAATTGTAGTGTTTTTACCTTTTGTCCTGACTTTCTGAGGGCTCAGCTCTGTCTGACTGCTTATAATATTTTACCTGACTTGGCTGTCTATAATAGAGATATATAAAGAAAATTGTTTTTGCATGAAAATAGAAGATTAGCCAGATATGAATTGGTTGTTTGTTTATTAAATAGAATGGGCTACTGTACATTTAAAATATGAAATCGGTGTTGCATTTGACCTCGGATTGTGCCATGTGGAGTTACCCACAAGATCAAGAAATAGATCAGTTTGCAAACAGTACCTGCTACTCCAAATGTCTGCTCTTTTCATTAATGACTTTGAGACTTAAATTTGAAAAAAGAATGTTTTTCTGTTTATAACATATGTCAGGCTTCTCTTGAATGGTGGTCACACAAGTAGTTTTTACCTTTGTTTCAATTTTATTAGAAAATTACTGCCTTTTTTTTTTTGAGGTGTCCTGTAGTGACTCCTACAGAATGAGTTTTTGTGTCACAGTGTAGTAAATATTTATAATAGTCAACAAAACCTCGTATTATAAGGAAAGGGTGCCAGGACATGTTAAAAAATTGACAAACATAAATTTTTGAAGTTGTACTTTATGTATGTATGTATTATGTATGTATGTATTTTGTTGCTGGGGATTGAACTTGGAACCTTGTGTTGTGAGGCGGTGACTACACCACTGAGCTAAATCCGCAGCCCTAAAGCTGAACTCTATATTACCACTTTTGTCCATCATCGGTCATTCTTACATGCACTCCTAATGCTTAGATTTTGGTGTGTAATGCCTTTTTTTGAGACAAGATCTCACTAGTTTAGAATGGTCTTGAACTCATAGCAGTTCCCCTGCCTTAGCCTTCTGAGTGCTTGGATGACAGGCATGTACCACCACATCTGGCTTGTTCATTTTTTAGCAAGTACTTATTGTACATACTGTGACACAGGTGTATGAATTCTGTGGTTGTTTGAGTTCCAAATAAACCAAGAATTCTTTTTTTTGGTACTTGGGAATCGAACTCGGGTCCTTGCACTTGCGAGGCAGGCCACTGAACCACTGAGCTAAATCCCTGGCCCCTAAACCAAGAATTCTTAAAGGATAGCTGATTTGTCTTGTAGAATGAAGATATCAGGGTAAGTTTGAACCATCATATAGTTTCTGAAAAGCGAGAACTTTTGCACAATGTCTGGCACAGGGCTGACAGAATAAAGTCCTAGCTCGTTGTTTTTATTAGCCAAGCTGTGACACATTACGTAGAGGGAAAAACAAGTTTCAGTTCATGGAAATAGTTGTGAAAAAAATCATGTGTTCATGAGAATACTCAGTGAATGTTAAAAATATGCAAAAGCTCATCTAGAGACAAAAATAAAGTGACTTTAAAAAGTGGGGACCTGTTAATATGTGTGCATTTTATTTTCTTCAATATATACCTGTATTTAAAGCATAGGATATTTTTATCACTGTATATAGACAAGAAAGCAGAGAACTATGAGTAAGTCAGGTAGTCTTGGAAGTAAGAATTGTACTAAGGGAAGGACCACCTCTGTAGTACCAGCTGCAACACATAAAAAACATGTAAGAATTGAGGTCTGATATGTCCCAAGATTACAAATACATGGTACAATATTGGGTACCCTGGCCCTGAGCCTGATCTTCTGACAAGGTGATAAGCCAGAAGGTGAAAGAAAGACACTGATACAATATTTAAACAGAAAATAAGGTTCTGGGGGACAGTCTACCTGAGCTGGCAGCAAAGACTCCAGGCTCCCAAGACCTCCAGTATTTATTGATTACGCAAGCCTGGGAAGAAATAGGACAGGGTTTCTGTGAGATATCTGGTGATAGTGTGTGAGGCATCTGGCAATGGGATAAGGCATTCCTGTAGAAGGAACAAAGGGAGACCAAAACCAGGTCATAATTAACCAGTAACCCATCAGGTCAGTAGGGGGAGGCCTTAATTCAGGGGAAGGAATTTGTTCAGAGCCACACTGTCCTCAGCTGCAATGTTATCTCAATCAGGGCCCTGCAGCTACACAGAACCAGGAGTTAGGTCTCTGCTGCAGCCATTGGAAAGAGGCTGTGTTCACCCACATGCCATCCAACATGCCCATACAAGTCAGATAGGCTTTGATCAGACTCCTTGTACACCACATTATGGGGAAGCAAGAAGCCTGTGCCACTTATAGCCTGACAGTAAACTGGACAAAAGGGGTCAGCTATAGTGTCTACTTAAGGAAAATTTCCTGTAGTGGGTACATCTTATAGCTCTTAAGAAATAAAAACCTTAAATGGCCCTGCTTGTCATGATAAAATACTAGTGAAAGGTACAAGTTTACAATAATACTAAGACAACAGATCAATGTATAATAAATGAGACAAAAGCTTTTCCAACACTGGCCAAGTAAAAGTTAAAGATGGAATTCTGGGGAAAAATATTAGGTTATAAAAATAACTGAAGTTTAAGGTGTTAACTTGTTAAGATAGCTAGATAATTGGCTACACAGGTCTTAATCCTTTTGGGAGAAACAATCTCATATACCACCAGATAATTAATAGCACAATCCTATAACCTCAGTTGGTCAAAAAAACTACTTGTTTTATGTCATGGTATAATTTCTATAATCCTGGGAAAGTAGCAAAATAAGTATTAGTTAATTTTTTATGGAAAAATACATATATTTAGAATTACAGCCAGCTAGATTCATTTAAATGGGCCTAGTTTTGTTGCGACATCCAGAATTTCATGATCTGAAGCCAATTGGAAATATGCCATCTTTTCTTAAACAGGCCCTATTAGACTGTTAACCTTGGCCATATCAGTATCATACAGCTTCTTCACAACTCTTGATCTGGGGCGTATTGTATGTTGTTGTCTTCTACCTTCTTCATGGCACACTATGTAGTTGGGGAGCTTTGTGGTGGTATAGTGGTTAAATTTATTTCCCCTGGAGGAGCTTTCCTGATATTTGGGCTTCCTGATATTTGCTGTAGTGTCTGTACTGCTTGGAATGTGGGTGACATATGGCTCTGTTTTTGTTTCTTCCCTTTGACTGCTTTTCAGCACTGCTTGCTTTCTTCTTCTTCTTTTTTTTTTTTTTTTTTTTTTTTTTTTTTG